AAAAGAGGTAGATGGTGTCCACATTGTGCAAAATGTTTTAAACTTAATATTGGTATTGCTAAAGAAATTGCATTTAAAAAAGGTGGTATTTGTCTTTTTGAAAAATATATAAATAGCTATACACCACTTTTCTGGCAATGTGCAAAAAAACATGAATGGCAAGCTCCTTTAGAAAGAATAAGGAATCATAATTCTTGGTGTCCTAAATGTGTAGTAGATACTCGAAGAGTTGGTTTAGATTTAGCTAAAAATATAGCTCGATCTAAGAATGGCGAATGTTTATCAGATAAGTATATTAATATTCATACTCTATTGCAATGGAGATGTCATCAAGGACATATTTGGCATGCAGTTTTAAATACAATAAAAAATCAAAATTCATGGTGTCCTCAATGTGCAGGATGTTCTAAACTTAATATTAATATTGCTAAAGAAATTGCTCTTAAAAAAGGTGGAAAATGTTTATCAGAAAAATATATTGATATAAATTCTTCGCTTTTATGGGAATGTAATAAGGGCCATCAATGGCATACAAATCTTAGATGTGTAAAAAATTTGGATACATGGTGTCCCACTGTTCAGGTAATGCAAAACTCTCTGTTGAAGAAGCTAGAAAAATTGCGACTAAAAATAAAGGATTATGTCTTTCTGAAATGTATACTGGTGCGTATACAAAATTAAAATGGCAGTGTGAAAAAAAGCATGAATGGTATGCAACTCTGGATAAAGTAAAAAATTTAGGTACATGGTGCCCATTTTGTCCATGGAAGAGACAAGATCTTTGCAAGAAAATAGCAACGAAATTATTAGGCCCACCATCTGATATTCGCAGACCAGATTTCTTAAAAACACCTGATCACCCATTAGGACTTGAGCTTGATATATACTATCCACAATATGGTTTTGCTATCGAAGTTCAAGGTATACAACACGAATGTTTCCATACTTTCTTTCATAAAAACCAAGAAGATTTCGAAAAGCAGTTTGCACGAGATCAGCTAAAAAAAGAACTTTGCAATAAAAATAAAATAGTACTCATTGAAATATGGTATTATGAAAACCTATATTTAGTAATTTTTCAACAATTTCAAAAATTAGGCCTTATTCATCCTAATACAGAATTACCTCCTCAGTGGGTACTTACAAGTTAGACCCAAAAGAGAATCAAAGACTCACAATAAGAGACATTTGTGGAATAGTTCAAGTTGGTATTCTTGGTCTTTTATAAATTAAGAAAATCTTCTGCTTCTTTATCGATTTGGGCTTCTTTAACAAAATGATCTTTAGCTAAA